TGGTAGTATGACACACTGACTCCTACAATATACAATGTAACTAGTTATTCCGGCATTGTACTTGGTAGTATGACACATTGACTTTGACTCCTACAATATACAATGTAACTAGTTATTCCGGCATTGTACTTGGTAGTATGACACATTGACTCCTACAATACACAATGTTATTAGTTATTCCGACATTGTACTTGGTAGTATGACACACTGACTCCTACAATATACAATGTAACTAGTTATTCCGGCATTGTACTTGGTAGTATGACACATTGACTTTGACTCCTACAATACACAATGCAACTAGTTATTCCGGCATTGTACTTGGTAGTATGACACATTGACTTTGACTCCTACAATATACAATGTAACTAGTTATTCCGGCATTGTACTTGGCAGTATAACACATTGACTCCTACAATATACAATATAACTAGTTATTCCGGCATTGTACTTGGTAGTATGACACACTGACTCCTACAATATACAATGTAACTAGTTATTCCGGCATTGTACTTGGTAGTATGACACATTGACTTTGACTCCTACAATACACAATGTAACTAGTTATTCCGGCATTGTACTTTGCAATTTGACACATTGACTCCTACAATATACAATATAACTAGTTATTCCGGCATTGTACTTGGTAGTATGACACATTGACTCCTACAATATACAATGTTACTAGTTATTCCAGCATTGTACTTGGTAGTGACATATTGACTCCTACATTATACAATTTAACTAGTTATTCTGGCATTGTACTTGGTAGTATGACACATTGACTCCTACAATATACAATGTTACTAGTTATTCCGGCATTGTACTTGGTAGTATGACACATTGACTCCTACAATACACAATGTTACTAGTTATTCCGGCATTGTACTTGGTAGTATGACACATTGACTCCTACAATATAACTAGTTATTCCGGCATTGTACTTGGTAGTATGACACATGGACTCCTACAATATACAATATAACTAGTTATTCCGGCATTATACTTGGTATTAATACACACTGACTCCTACAATACACAATGTTATTAGTTATTCCGGCATTGAACTTGGTAGTATGACACGTTGACTCCTCCAATATACAATGTAACTAGTTATTCCGGCATTGTACTTGGTAGTATGACACATGGACTCCTACAATATACAATATAACTAGTTATTCCGGCATTATACTTGGTATTAATACACACTGACTCCTACAATACACAATGTTATTAGTTATTCCGGCATTGAACTTGGTAGTATGACACATTGACTCCTACAATATACAAAGTTATTCTGGCATTGTACTTGGTAGTATGACACATTGACTCCTACAATATACAATGTAACTAGTTATTCTGGCATTGTACTTGGTAGTATGACACATTGACTTTGACTCCTACAATATACAATGTAACTAGTTATTCCGGCATTGTACTTGGTAGTATGACACATTCACTTCTACAATATACAATGCAACTAGTTATTCCGGCATTGTACTTGGTAGTGTGACACATTCACTTCTACAATATACAATGTAACTAGTTATTCCGGCATTGTACTTGGTAGTATGACACACTGACTCCTACAATATACAATGTTACTAGTTATTCCGGCATTGTACTTGGTAGTATGACACATTGACTCCTACAATACACAATATAACTAGTTATTCCGGCATTGTACTTGGTATTATGACACACTGACTCCTACAATACACAATGTTATTAGTTATTCCGGCATTGTACTTGGTAGTATGACACATTGACTCCTACAATACACAATGTAACTAGTAATTCCGGCATTGTACTTGGTAGTATGACACATTGACTCCTACAATACACAATGTAATAAGTTATTCCGGCATTGTACTTGGTAGTATGACACACTGACTCCTACAATATACAATGTAACTAGTTATTCCGGCATTGTACTTGGTAGTATGACACATTGACTTTGACTCCTACAATATACAATGTAACTAGTTATTCCGGCATTGTACTTGGTAGTATGACACATTGACTCCTACAATACACAATGTTATTAGTTATTCCGGCATTGTACTTGGTAGTATGACACACTGACTCCTACAATATACAATGTAACTAGTTATTCCGGAATTGTACTTGGTAGTATGACACATTGACTTTGACTCCTACAATACACAATGTAACTAGTTATTCCGGCATTGTACTTGGTAGTATGACACATTGACTTTGACTCCTACAATATACAATGTAACTAGTTATTCCGGCATTGTACTTGGCAGTATAACACATTGACTCCTACAATATACAATATAACTAGTTATTCCGGCATTGTACTTGGTAGTATGACACACTGACTCCTACAATATACAATGTAACTAGTTATTCCGGCATTGTACTTGGTAGTATGACACATTGACTTTGACTCCTACAATACACAATGTAACTAGTGATTCTGGCATTGTACTTTGCAATTTCACACATTGACTCCTACAATATACAATATAACTAGTTATTCCGGCATTGTACTTGGTAGTATGACACATTGACTACTACAATATACAATGTAACTAGTTATTCCGGCATTGTACTTGGTAGTATGACACATTGACTCCTACAATACACAATGTAACTAGTTATTCCGGCATTGTACTTGGTAGTATGACACAATGACTCCTACAATACACAATGTAACTAGTTATTCCGGCATTGTAATTGGTAGTATGACACATTGACTCCTACAATACACAATGTAACTAGTTATTCCGGCATTGTAATTGATAGTATGACACATTGACTCCTACAATACACAATGTAACTAGTTATTCCGGCATTGTAATTGGTAGTATGACACATTGACTCCTACAATACACAATGTAACTAGTTATTCCGGCATTGTAATTGGTAGTTTGACACATTGACTCCTACAATACACAATGTAATTAGTTATTCCGGCATTGTACTTGGTAGTTTGATACATTGACTCCTAAAATACACAATATAACTAGTTATTCCGGCATTGTACTTGGTAGTATGACAAATTGACTCCTACAATACAATTGATCTTTCCATTCTAATTAAGGTAAATTTCAGGCTCACAATTTATGAATAATAAAATTGAGAATGGAAATGAGAAAAGAACAATTATAGCTGTTAATATCAGATTTATTAAAAATCAGTTCCTTTGGGTTTATTTTCAATTATAATCAGAGACATACATGTATACTTTGTAGTAAAGGTACATATAGTTTGCATTAGATAACTTTTGTACTTTGTACCATTACTACATTGTACCTTAAGTTAGATTTTTAACTTTTGACATAACTGCTGTTTTTAAGGTTATGTCCCATAAATTGTCTAAAGATTGTTTCTTCTTGAAGATTACTGAAGTTTTGTTTATTTAAAGAAAGACCTTGTTAAAGCTACCTAGCAACCATATCATTTTGTTTATTTTGTTCCAAACTTTTATTTGGAACAATTGGAGTCCGAAGGATGCGATTCAAATATTAGGAAGTTTCCCTGAAGTCTTTTATAACAAAATCAATTGAGCAAAGTACCTAGCAACTTATTTTTTCTTAAACAGTATTACACAAACTTTGACATCAAACAATGAAACTTTAAAGGATGGGATTCCAATTTTGATAAATTTTTTGAGAAGTCTCTCAAAACAATGATTTGGAAAAGCACCTAGTGGACTATGTTGGGGGAAAACATTATGACCGAAATTTTGATGGATCTATTAAATTACAAAAGGATGGAGTTCCAGATTTTGTTAATTGCCTGAAAGATTCTCTGACCAACCATTTTGAAGAAAGGTTAATAGAAACCACATATGTTTGTAACATATTGCCCAAACTTTTATTTGGAACAGTTTCTTGTGATTCCAAGATTTGTAAATTTCCGAAAGGATGATCAGCCCAACAGTTTTTAAATAAAGGCACCTAGAAACCATATATATTGAGATTTAGCAACAAATCTATATGGAATCATTAGATTTCAAAGGCTGAAATTTTGAAGTTTGGTTAATTTCGCTAAAGTCTGTTAGAAAAATATTTATCGAGAAAAACACATAGCAATCAGAAATTTTTGGAAATATGATAAAATTTGACATTGGTCAATTGAATTTTCAAATGATATGATTCCAATTTTGGTAAAATTTACTGGACTCTCAGAAACTGTGTCAAGATTCATTAATATTTGTCCAGTTGTTTTGGAAGACTTGTGCTAACAAGACACATGGACAGAAAAATGGATCGACAGGGAGGACTGGTGGGAGTTTTGTATGAAGGGGGTATAAGTTAACATATTGTTTCAGATTTTATGAGTTTTATTAACAACTTAATTGTTAAAATTAGATGTGATAGAAGTAATATGTTTTCTACAGGTACAGCCATGAGTTATAAGTTTTTGTAGAGAGTTTTCTGTGTGAAACTGAAATATCTGAATCAAGAAAAGAACAATTATAGCTGTTAATATCAGATTTATTAAAAATCAGTTCCTTTGGGTTTATTTTCAATTATAATCAGAGACATACATGTATACTTTGTAGTAAAGGTACATATAGTTTGCATTAGATAACTTTTGTACTTTGTACCATTACTACATTGTACCTTAAGTTAGATTTTTAACTTTTGACATAACTGCTGTTTCAAGGTTATGTCCCATAAATTGTCTAAAGATTGTTTCTTCTTGAAGATTACTGAAGTTTTGTTTATTTAAAGAAAAACCTTGTAACATTGCAACATTAAAACATACCAAGAAGTTCATGTTGTTGGATTTTCACTGTTTCAGACGTTATCATTCCAGAGTAATGTACCTTGAATTGTTAACAATGGTTAACTTTGGAACATTTCTACCTGCCATGCTATGTATACTCAACACCAAAACCTTTTCGGTTTTCAATTAGTATATTTAAATTAGGAAGCATAATTTTCCTTGTTTAAAATTATGGTAACAGATAATCAGCTTTTATTTGGTGTCCATTGTAAATTAGTCACATTGAAATTAACAAATAAGAGAAAAATATTTAATTTACATTCAAATATAGGACATGGTTTAACAAAATTGTAATAATAATAAATAAATAAACAATGCAACTATAAATGGTAATAACAACTTGAAAAGGATTTCTGACTGAATGTGTAACTTAACCTGCCACAAGTCAACTGAAAAATTAATTTAATGCTTTTTGATTTATACATGTTTTGTCTTAAACCTGCAAAAGTTAGATAATAAGTCAGACAGGGATACTCAATCTTCAAAATAATCCTGAGATGAGATTGGTTGATTGATGCTTGGGACTATTAGTTCGGTGGCAGTGAACATTCAGGACCAGAACAAATTAACTATTTTCACAAATGTAGGTTCTGCAAGGGGGAACAACTTGGATGAATGGCAGGAAATTTTGACTGTCGCTAAAAAATCAGGAGGAGAAATACTGGTTAGAAACTTGATCAAGGAAGTACGATACCGCCTGTAAAACACAAAGCAGTCTCTATTACTGTTACTCGGGTTATTTTTTTGTAGGGATATTTATGTGGTTTTTACCCAAAAAGAATCGGTTATGTTTTGGTGTGTTTAATTTTGGCACTTGTGGAAATGGTCATAAATTCACAAGGGAATGGTTTATATTAAGTACTGGTTTTAAAAACATTTGTATGCTTATTTGTGGTTATGTCAACATGAGATAACAGAAACAAAACATTATTATGATATGTTATTTCTCATCATACAATTACATTCTTTTTGTTACCAAATAACAGCACAATATCACTATGAATAGCTGGTAACTGAGTATGAACCATATTTAAGTTAAAAGTAGGTTACTGGAATGGAGTTCATATGTAACTAATCGATACACATCATAAAACAAAAATCACAAACTAACAACCCAATTTTATTCAAACATTATTCAAGTTATAACCATCACATCAAACTGAGGACAGAACATAAGAAAATCCAATGGACAGAAATGCATTTTTTCAGATGTAATGTTGAGGTGTAATGGCTAAAATATAATATTGCAATGTTGAAACCCAAACAAATCATTCAGGTTACTATATGGAAACAAAGATGATGATTTATTTTCAAGGGGCATATCTCCAAAATGTAGACAATGATTCTGTGGAAATTAAATACAGATTTATTTTTTTTTAAATGTTTGTGTGAAATAAAAGATAATTTACAAACAAATAAGAGTGAATAAAATACAAATTTTCATTTTTTGTAGTCTTAAAGATGAGTATTTTTTTCTATTTCAACTTGGTTAATTCTCTTTACAATGGAAGTTTGGTTCAGTCTTAACAATAAAATAAATGCATAGATACAATGTCATACAGCTTCTTCTCTGATGATTTGATACATTTTATTTCTTGTAAATATTTTTCCAACCTTCAATATGAAGATTAGATATATTTTATTTCTTTTAGATATTGTTCCAACCATCAATAAATGTATTATACTATTTTTTGTAATGTTAGATCATGAAATCTTGACACGCTTTACCATTGGTTCACCGATTGTTTCTACACTATCTTCTGTAGCCATTTCAACCATTACGTTAGCACACTTAGGATCACCAGTGTCTTCATACTGTATACACACAACAAACGGATCACCTGAACCACTTTTCTCAAAGTGAACTTTAGTACCCTCTATTTTATGTTCGGAAGATTCGTCAGTAATTTCATTATTGCCATTACAAATGTTTTCTGCGATAGCCTCCTCTAAGTTCATACTTGTTGGCATATCTAAGTTAGAACTGGAAACATTGTCTGTGGATGAACACATACTGGTGGCAGGGGACACCTCCTGTCCAAGTTCTATACTGTTTTGTGGCAGGTATTGATGGTTCTCGGTTGACATTGTATTTAATATTAAAGGAACTGGTTTATATTCACGTTTAAGATTAAGTAAATGTTGATGAAGTAAACTCCTGTGTTGATTTTCCATTTGTTTAAGAATGTTTTCTATATTTTTGTCTAGGGGTACACTCAACTGTTCTAAATAATCCTGTTCACGCTTCTGATATTCTGCTATTTCATTTCGCAATTCATTAACCTACAAAATAAAATATAAATTATGATACAGGTTTTATTCAGAGGTTAAATTGGTCTGTAAGAATGGTTAATCCTGACTTTACATTAAATCAAAGCATCGTTGATGTTGTGATCCAGCCATATTCATAGCTAGTCTTATATTCTTTCTGACCATACTTTTTTCTAAATTTTTTTCTCTTTTCATTTCCAATATTACTGTAAAATTTCTATGTTATTGTCCAAAGGTAGGGAATTTCGCAATATTGATGCAAATATAGATATATATACTGATCTTTCAATTTTAGACTCTGTCAGATTCTATTTTTGACAAGAATGGAAAGGAAAATCGTCAAAAAAAGTAATATATTTTTTATATGCCATTAATAATGACAGGTTTAATCATTTCCAGAAAGAGGCCTTATAAATGCACTTTCTCAACAACATAAATTAAAAAAAATAATAACTATGTTTTATCTAAATTGGTGTTCATTCTTCATTAAGAATAAATACATTTCCTGTATTCAAATCTGAATGTACAAATACCTAATGCTGAGATATTTCCAATTACTCTTAAATAGCAATATAATGGGATATAAATGTAAAACAAACAAATAAATTTTATTGCAGAAAATGCTCAGGTAAGAGTTATGCAATTTTGTTCAATATTTCAACCAAATTTCTGATAATTGTAACTAATTAATTAGAACTTGATTATTGACTTATGTCAGATGATCAGGGCACAAGTAAAGTAAAATTTGATTGCATTTTTATACATATTTTTTTCATTTTAAGTATTTTCTTTGAAAAAATAATTAACAGAATATTTAAATGTAGTGTAGATCAAAATAAATAATACATTTGTAGGTTTACTATTGAGGTATTCAGTTAGGTGTGTAATAAATTGTGTCTATTAAATTATGTAACTGGTCATGAGATATTAACTGTTTTGAATTAAGCCTGGGTTTTTTTCTTATTAATATATACACCTTTGAGTGTAATTATTTGAAAATCATGACAGTTAATAATCATTCTGACTCTTACTTGCCTATGGAAAGAATTGGAGTAATACAATTTCAAAAAAGTGTGGGAATCAACTTAGATATATTAATACACATGTTGACCTACATTTCATTGAACAATAATTTACACAAGCACAAGATACTAATATAATACTTTCAAAATTCTTATCAACTGATTAAATTGATGTACAAATACTTTTTCAAATTAATTCATAAATAGTAAATCATCATGAATTTTGATTTAGAAAGGAACTATATGCAAGTGTATATATATCTAAAATAAAGTCACTATTTGACCAATCTTTTCATAATTTAAGGGCAAATAACGTGTCAAAAGTTTGCAGTTGATGATTAAAATGGTGTAGAAAGTTTCTGCAAGTCATAAAAACACATAATTAGTTTCATGATATGTCTTCAACTTAGTACTCTGCACCATCTCCAAAACCAGAGTGATCGCATAGATCCAACATGGCTGAATCAAAAAAATTAGCCATATAAAAGTAGAGATTTTATATGGTTGTGTAATTCATTTGTCTGTCTAAACTTACCCGTGTTTGGAATTCAAATATTTCTGACTTGTAAGATATTTTGCCAGTGTTTGTAATTTAAATAATTTTTAATTGTAAGATTGTTTTGCTGGTCTAAACTTACCTGTGTTTGTAATTCAAATATTTTGGACGTGTAAGATTCTTTTGCCCATCTAAACTTACCCATGTTTGTAATTGAAATATTTCTGACTTGTAAGATTGATTTGCCCATCTAAACTTACCCGTGTTTGTGATTGAAATATTTCTGACGTGTAAGATTCTTTTGCCTGTCTAAACTTACCCGTGTTTGTAATTCAAATATTTTTTATTTGTTATGTCTCAACCTACCTGAGTTTGTAATTCTGATATATCTGTTTTGTACGATTGTTCCACTAAGATTTTCTCCACCTCTAGTTTTTTATATTTCTGTTTTAGATCTTCAAATTGATTATCTGTATTCTGATCCTCAGCAATCTCTTTTTCTTCCTCTATATTCACTTCTATATTCACCTCCTTAAAAGATAGAAAGATCATTCTTTTACTTGTAAATAAAAAAAGAATGCTATTATAAAAGCATTCCCCTACTAATAATTGAAGTATTGGAAAACAGGCAGTGAGTGTATGACATATCCTAAAAGCTACCACAAACACTACAACTCAGCAGTGTTGAACTGCTGACCAATTATGAAGTCATTCTGTACATTTGATTTGAAAAAAGTGTGGCAAAATTTCTTAAGTTCTTTTTGCACATTGAAAATTCAAATTATTGGCAAACATTCAGTAGGTATCTGACAGATCTGAAAAGTTCTCATGTCTTACAACTCTTGATTGTCAAGTTGATGACTCAATATAAATTCATTCTGTATGGTAGTTTCAGAGAGAAATATGATGAAAAAATTAGTTGGGCACAATGAAAGACAGATAATGTGATTACAACATAGCCCCCCTTCCCCATCCTTGAATGAGGTATAATTTATCCCATTTAGCAAACTATTAATCATGCCATTAGTTTTCTCGTTTGAATTGTTTTACATTTGTCATTTTGGGGCTTATATAGCTTGCTATGCAGTATGTGTTTCGCTCATTGTTGTAGGATGTACGGTGACCTATAGCTTATAACTTCTAAGTGATTTGGTCTCTCGTGGAGAGTTGTCTCATTGGCAATCATACCACATCTTTTTATTTTTATATATGCAAGTACTAAAGGATCCTCAGATCTGCATTTTATCTTTATTGGACAAGCATTTTTGTTTTATGTAGATCAAACATAACAGGGCAGTTTCCCAACACGCTGAGTCTAATTTTTAGTTCACAAGGTAATAGTCCACAGATAGACATGTCACCCTACCTGGACACATTATTCTGACTCTGAGCTGACCATTCTTTACTCTTACTCCTTAATGCTGTGTGAGAAGCAGCAAATACCAATTCTAAGCCTAAGGTCCTTGGTTTGACTAGAACGGGGTTCGAACTCACAACCTCTTGCACTCAGGCGAAACATGATACCACAGACAACCAAGGCAGTTCATTGGATACAAGATACTTACATCATTAGATATAACTTGTGATGGAGGTTCCTCCTGTATTATCATTATATGGTGTGTCTGACCATTAGAACTATCTACAGTTTCTTCAGCAGCAACAGATGTGTGGATTTCACCAGACTTTACATTAGTTAAACTCACTTGGGTGGGATGACTTATTGCAGCTAGAAAGTAAAAATAAATAATCAAAGCATTGTCAGTGCTATAATCCAGCCAATCTGACTTGAACATCCTTTATGTTAACTAGATATAAAACTACCTATATGAGTTATGTTGAAAATGAGGCTTTTTTTAAATATTACTTATATAAGTTACTTAAATTTGAAAATTCTATTTACAGAGGCATCCATTCATACAGTTTAAACTAGCATAAAGATTTTTTCTCAGACATCTAGTAATGTTTCTAATGAAGCAGAGTAACTTTTTTTAATATTTTCTTATAAATGACCTATATAGATAATTAAAAAAATAACTTGTTTAAGTAAAGCCCTGACTGTTAGAAACCTTGCATTTGATAAATCCTTTCAAATGAATATATTGCATTTCCTTCCAGAGATTATAAAATAACAGGTTAGATAGATATATCATTTCAAATGAATATACTGCATTCCCTTCCAGAGATTATAAAATAACAGGTTAGATAGATATATCTTTTCAAATGAATATACTGCAATTCCTTCCAGAGATTTTAAAATAACAGGTTAGATAGATATATCATTCCGTTCAACAGTTACAATGTATTACTGACCTAATTCATGGCCAACAGATGTAGACATGACAGCTTCTGTAAGAGCTGGGTGGATAGAAAGACCTGTGCTATCAACAGCTGATGATGTCATCTCATCTTCATATTTAGGAGGGTAAACTTCCTGAAAATATTTTAAAGTCAAACAATAGAATTTTTTTTAACTATCTTTTTGTAATCTGTCACTAGACACTGCTTCACAATATTCAACATTACTCCAAAATGTAAGCAAATTTATTATTTAAAAAAGATGTTCGTGTACTTTAGTTTTGCAAGTTATATCTGTTTTGGGATTTCTTCTATATAGAAGTATCTTTCTTTAAAAAACTAACTTAGGGTGTCACATGTAGAGTAGGATCTGCTAACCTATGTGAAGCACCTGAGATCACCCCTGGTTTTTGGCGGGGTTCATGTTGCTCAGTCTTTAGTTTTCTAGTAGTGTTTTGTGGACTTTTGTTTTTTCATGGTTTTATATTGTTTTGCCATGGCTTGGTCAGTTTCGTTTTATGAGTTTTGAATGTCCCCTTTGTCTCTTTTGCATCTTTTCAGTAACTAACGTGATCAACATAAATACATAAAACATAAAAGATTGGCTAGATATTATGATAATAAATGTCCGGTAATCTTCTTTAGACCGTATTCTACATTTGTTTCCTTCTGTATTATTTTTAGCAGAATATATATATATGTGCACTGTATCATTTCAATATTTTTAAATTATGTTTTTACAGACAAATTTCCCTTTCATATTTTGATAAATCTCATTCATGAATTTGAAAATAATGCTTTTTTTTTCTTAAAAATATTTTTCAATAAAATTCTTCATTATTTTCAAGTTATATTTTTCAATGCCATCTGAACAACTTTGATTTTAAGAAGTTATACTTCAAATCTTTACCTGAGCAATTTGAATCTGAAAAGTGGTTTGTGGATTTCTGAAGTGGGTTTTGTAATGTTTAATTGCTTCATCTCTCCTGTTAAAACCATTACGACATTTATAACAATGCCAATGTGCTCCTTTAAACTTTTTCTCTCCTTTAATTATACCAACAATGTCACAATGATCACAACATCGTAAAATTTTCAAACCTGGAATTATAAAATATGACTTGTAAAATCAGCTAGAGCACATATTTGGTGTTTAAAGTTTGTCTGATATTAAACAAATATATTGTAGTTCCTGTTACTCTAGGAGTCAGTACTCTTAATTTTTCTTTCTCTCCGACTCATCTAGCTCCATATTGTCTGACAGTTTTTTTATTACAACTTATACTCTTGAGTTAAAGATCAGAGTAATATTTATTTACATGTTAAGTGTTCGTAAATTTCAAAGTTCAGTCCTGCAAATATTTTATTTACATAAATTAATATTGCACAAACAGTTTATCTATTATCTGTCAAGGTATGTGAAATTCAGGAAAAATGTATTAAAAAAACCCCAAGAAATCTATGACGAAAACTAACCCAATTTAGGAGGGTTAGCCATCCATGCATGGCTAAGGGGGGTTAGTTAGTTCATATTGAAATATCAGTGAAAGTAAAATTAACTTTAGCGGCATAGCCATGCACTCATGGCTAACCCTCTTTAGTTTGGTAAGTTTTTCATCATACATTTCTTATCAAATTTTCCAGAATTCAAAATTATTCCCGATTCAAATAACTCCTTGTTTTAAGGTGATTTTATTGTGATTTTTTTATAATATAATTACCAGCAAAATCTATTCCCTTATCTACATGTTTAACTCTATAATGAGCCTTCAGTATGACTGGGTCATGATACAGTTCAGTCTTCACACAGAATGGGCAATGCATGTGTAATGTACCATCACCACACCTCTGATCCACACATCTCATTGGAGTCAAATTATTTTCTGTACCTTTAATCCGAACACTTGGATGAGTCTGAAATATCAAACAAATCATATTTCAATATATAGATATCTACAGCTTAATTGGTATCACAGTTCCTAAAAACTCTGTGGAAACTTTCAACCAATCAAGAAATAGGAAATGTCACATAGGAGTTGCATTCGGCTTTGCCATTTTTGTTGTCAAATTTGTAATTTAATATTTCTGATGTTCTGGTTTTCCAAACAATATTCATGATATTCCAGAGTTATGCTATTTAATTTGCAAAGACAGACTACACAGGGCTTGAACTGATTTTTCTTTCAATTTTCAATAAATTTGGGGGCCCACTATAAATCTTAGTAGCCCACAAAATTTTATGGCAAAACAATTCTCAATAAATATTTTTGGAAACCTGAGAAAAATTAAATAAAGATCAATAAAGAGCTGTGACCCACAACAGTATTGAATCATAATGAAATTTAAATGTCTGGTGTTATATATATATTACATGCATTGACATGTATTATTGTGTTTTAATTCTTTCAATGAAGATTATAAACAAATTTTGTTCTCTCTGTTGTGTAACATTTCCTTTTACCTTAGATTAAACTTCAGGTAATGACTAATGTCAGTTACACCAGATATTTTCATGAAATATTTCATACAAAGGATTTTTTTCTCTTCAACAGGAGGTCGGGAGGAGACCCCTGAAAACGGGATTATTGTACTCCCGCCGGGAGGTTCACATGTATGTTTAATATTTCAGGATATTATTTTCAAATTATAATCTGTGAAATTATTTCCCATTATAATACATTTATTTGGTTTTTTATTTTCTAATTTAGCTTATAATAGTTTTAACTTATATTCAAATACACTTTTATAAGTCAATAGTATTTGCAAAGATTAAGTTTTTTTTTTATTAACTATTCAATATTTTTACTTCCCAGATTGAATTTCACGGCAATGGATAATATATCACAGTGAAATATTTTCCTCCAGATAAAAAAATAACAACTCCTGTAACATTTTTTCAACGGATATTTCATCTGGATAGAATTTTACTTTACATAATAACATTGTAGGAAGGTGTCACAGAAAAAAGTTTGAAATAAAAAAAATTAAAATAGCCTTTCAAGAAGTCATAATTATTTTAATTGGGTGAATGTTTATTTCTGACTACAAAATGTCATACCAAGGAGTTGTTTCCCTTTTCCAAAAAAAAAAAAAAAAATAGTAAAATTGAAACAAAAATGAATGCATTCAATTGAAGTAATTATCCATGTTTTTTTTGGTAATTTGTGGTCAAGTTCACCATGAAGCTACTTTCTATGAATTGCATGAAAGTACATTCCACAAAGAAAGACAAGACAAGAAAGTGATTCTCACAAAAATAAGATCATGGAAAATGCATGGCTTGTGATTTCTGAATAAAATCATAAATTGTTGGCAAAAATCATTATCAATTTTCAATTTTGCACGAACTTTGAAGGACTTAAACAAGTTACTCGCTTACAACATATGTATTCATTGTCAAAGACAATGCTTCTGTCAGCTAGAAGCAAATTCAGTTCGAACAACGATGAAATTAGTGTCTCCCTCTTTCTTTCCTTGTGTTCACGTCACCAAAATATGTCGACAAGCGCAGAAGGATATGAACGTCACTTCCTGAATTTTCAAAGTCAAAATCCAGGACGTTATATTCCTTTGCCGGGAATTTATTTACGCTGACGTCTTCTATCGGATTTTGGACACAGTTACAAAATCGTTTAATAGAGTAAAACATAACTTATAAGAAACACGCTTATTCCAGGTATTTATAATTTTAGTCATACTTTGACAATGAACAAAGTTATCTGACGCAAGGCTCCTTCAAATTTCCACTGACATGCTGACAAATGTAAATCTTGGAATCCTCTTATGTACCTGCAAAGAGGACTAACCAAATATCTTCACGCAGGTATAGTTATCGATGAAATGAACATGTAATTTGGTTTTACATCTTGAATATTTAATTGTCCCCTGTGCGACAAGTTGCAGGGGACATAGAAATACCACCATTACGGCATTAGTAGTGGCATTACTGGGTGTCTGTCTGTCCGTCCTGTCTTGTTAGCGCTTTCACATGTACAATTCTTATCAGATTTTTATAAAACTTATATTATAGGTTTATATCACCAATGTCTCGGACAAGTTCGAAAATTCAACAGAGTTATGCCCTTTGGAAATATTTTTACATGTAAAAATTGCTTTGTTAGCGCTCTTATGTGTACAATTCATGCAAGATTTTTTTGGAACTTGTATCATAGGTTTATATAAGCAATGTCTCAGAAGAGTTGGAAACTCAGTGTGGATCATTATTTTTAAAAGTACTCTGCCCCTTGTGATAGATCCGTGTATTACTCGCTCGGATTATTAAAATTAAAAACTATATCTTTGTAATTATTTTGTATTCTCAAAACTACATATATACAGTTATGCTACCAATGTACAACTCAACTCCCAGTTTTTTGGCTACACATGCTGTTCTTATCTACATGTATCAAATCATGAATATTCATTAGCTATGTAGGCGTGTCAAAATCATATTATACGTGATAATTACCAGCCAGTACACACTGTATTATATTTTCATTAACCAGTATTAAAAAGATAAATATAACATCACCGCCCACAAATTAGAAATTTCTAAAAATTTCTTACTGGTAAATGAAATCTGTATATATAAAAATTATGAATATTAACAAAAAAACTGAAACCAATCAATAAGCAAATAAATTGTACTTATACACACATCAAAAGTTCTCATTAAGATACTGTGTTTTAAATTGAATAACTGCGAAATTTGGTGACCAAAAATAAAAACAAAAAATATAAAAAATTTAGATGAAAAGGTTTCTTTTTCTTCGCTAAAATATGCAGTTTAAAGAGTTTTATGTACAACATAAAATAAATCTTAAAGCTGATGTTAAACCAAAACACCAACAACCTTATCGACTCCCGCCACATAAAAGGGAAGTATTGCGGCACCATTTAGATGAACTCCTTAAACAAGGAATCATAGCACTGATTAGCAAGGAAGAAAATGTGCCTATCACAAGTCCAATAGTCTTGGTAACTAAACGAAAAAGACAAAATGATACTTTTCAAAACGAAAAGGATGCAGCCTTATCACAATATAGATTTTGTTGCGATTTTAGATATTTAAATTCTTGAACCGAACAGTTTAAATATTTTATTCCCAATCTACAAGAACTTACACAGACTCATTTTCACAATTTTTTTCCAAATTATATATCGTCAATTGATTTGTCCTCTGGATTTTTCCAGTTAGGTATTGACCCCAATTCTACATGCTACACAGTATTTAATACATGCTTTGGTAAATATAAATTTTTGCGTTTACCAATGGGACTTTCGTCATCCCCGGCATCTTTCCAATTACTCATGGACAAAGATTAATTTTATGGAAAATTGCATTGAAAGCACTCTCATGTACCATTTTTGCCAGATTTTTATCAAATTTATATCAAAGGTTTATATCAACAACTTTGAAAATTAGTGCCATTCAAATAACTTTAAAAGAGTTATGCCCTTTGGAAATATTAATTATATTGGAAATTGAACTGCATTTGCTCTATAGCCTTTATTTCTCTAAGATATTTATAAAATGTTTAGAACCAAAAAAAACCCCAAGTATTTGCCCTTGGACAGGTAAAATATGTGCAACGCAGGGAACATTGGAACACTGTTCTTTTATTCCTATTGGGTGAATGTGCGGACCAATTTTCTCATCCTGGGCGGTCATATCCGAAAATTGCTCTAGACTCAGAATTCAAAAAGCACTGTGCTTAAACGGCTGTGGTTTAAGTTAAGTTTGAGCTTCGTTATTATATAATTGATACAAAACCTACTTTGTGCAATGTTTTTCTTGCACTACACGTATGTACATTCAATAGATATAAGAAGATGTGGTATGAGTGCCAATGAGACAACTCTCCAAACCTGTATTAAGCAGTCACTCTTGGTAAGTATCAAAAGTGACCGCTCAAGAGAGGTGACCTGTAAATGAGGTTCTTAAAAAGTCCAATTCCAACATCGCCCGTGCCTGGGATCAGGGCAAATTGTTTTAGTGTTTCTAATTGGTAGAGTTATCGTTCTTGTGAGCAGTAATATAAGAAATGGCGGATTCTGGCTCTGTAAACATGAAGACAAATTCGAAATATGTTAATATTCTTTGAGAAATAAGTAGACGATACGGTTTTCAATGGAAACTGAAAGGTTGAAACATGGAGTTGACGAATTCATCTTGTATTACGCGAGCTAGGTTGCAAACGGATTTCAATTCAATTTTTACTTCGATATTTACAACATATATTTTTCTGTATGAAGATTTTTGGTAGTTTAAAATCTTAAAATGACCATTGTTAAAAGTTGAAATTACGATTTTGTTAAAAAATAAGGTGACCGCTGACCGCGTTAAAGACAGGTGACCGCTGAAACAAGTTAAATTATATGGAAAAAAAGTTTGGGAGGGTTTGAAAGTGACTGTTATAGGTCCAAGGACACAGTTATCGTCCTTTGGTTTTCGTTGTCTACGAATATAGTCCCTAGTGTAAACAGTGTATAACTTGCAATTTTTTTTCATATACTTTCCCAATTTATTTCTTGATATTTGATGCATGAAATATTAAGTAAGGGGATGAAATTACATGTTAAAAAAATTTGGGTGCTGAATCTTTATGTTAAGTAGTGATTAGGTCTAGGTAAAAAAGGTCAAAAATTAGTATGTCTGAAACTGTCAAACTGAATTTTAGACCCCCTTAACATAGAATTGTCAATATTTTGAGTTAGAGCTGGTAGACTTTTCTATAATTTTGATATTATTTGTCCCAATAGTAGTACACTACACTGTAAAAATCTTTTTGAGATAGAGCAGGTGCGATTTTTTTAATTTGAATTTATTGTCTAAAAGAAATGAACTACGAAATAACTGTGTTCTCGGGCCTTAAGAGATGAATTCAGTAAATGTAGATTCTGTACTTTGGCAACTTCCCTGAATGGTTTGCTGGTTTAAATTTGTCAAACTCAATAAAAGTAAAGGTATTACATCTTTATTTGATAGAAATTCTGTTAAAATGTCACATTTTGGCGTTATATGGCTAAAATAAGAATTTTAAAGTAATTTCCATTTGTATGCCTAAGAGGCAAGCTGACCTTCTCCCTGACAGGTTTTTATGTTTTTATATTTGTGTTTTTATGCTTAATTCAAATTTAATTAACCATTTGTGAACTCTGAATCTAGAGAAAAGTAGATTATCACAGAAAAATTGTGCAAAATGTGTTGTATTTATGGCCCTGGTCAAACGGCCTGTTTGATGCGTGTGAAATGTGAAGAGCTTTGTACATAAAATTTGAAGTCCATCATAAATATTTCACTAATTCTATAAAAAAGCACTTTACAATGATCAGTGTACCTTATTCATTTCATATACAACCTTCAGTTTCTTCTGTAGGATAGTAAGTGGTCCAAATATATGCCATTTGAGACTAAAATTACATGAAACTTTTCCATTGAAAAGTTAAAAAACTGTGCATCAGACCATACTGTCTGCATAAAAGTTTAAATTCAAGAGTCCTTTTGCATTCAAACTTCTAGTATTATGTCATAATAGCATAGAAAAGAGCAAAAAGTTACAAATTTCCATTTCTTATAGCTTCTGTATGCATTTTTATATGTGAATATGTGCTACGGCCTAAATGACTCTAAATAATTATAAGTCTTACATGGCCAAAGACCATTTTATACTCATGTGGTATGCTATTGTAACTTTTCTTTCCATTTAAAGTTCATTAGATATATATGGAAGAATAATTTAAGGTTAAAAAACTTTAAAAAATTCAAATTGGTTGAAAAAAATTAATCTTTATATAAGGCCCCCCTTAATTCGAAAATCTCTATTTTCAGGCACAGGCTCATATAAATTTGACTTTTGAATAATTGTTATAAATCTGATAAACCAAATGAGTGTTCAGTTGATTTTAATACATAATATATTATATTTAAGGGCCTTTAAAAAGCAAATGTTTGCAATATTTAAATTTTTTAGGCCCAAATCTTGATAGTTGAAATCATTTGATTTAAATGTCAAAATTAAACATCCAACTTTCAATATTAAAATGGCTCTAGTTTCTATAATATAATTCCTATGGCCATGAAACTTGGCCAACTATCTTATAATTGTCTAAGCTTTGTCCATGCAAAGTTTCATAAGATTTGGTCAAGTCTTTATGTCCTATAAGAGATGAATTCAGTAAATGTAGATTCTGTACTTTGGCAACTTCCCTGAATGGTTTGCTGGTTTAAATTTGTCAAACTCAATAAAAGTAAAGGTATTACATCTTTATTTGATAGAAATTCTGTTAAAATGTCACATTTTGGCGTTATATGGCTAAAATAAGAATTTTAAAGTAATTTCCATTTGTATGCCTAAGAGGCAAGCTGACCTTCTCCCTGACAGGTTTTTATGTTTTTATATTTGTGTTTTTATGCTTGATTCAAATTTAATTAACCATTTGTGAACTCTGAATCTAGAGAAAAGTAGATTATCACAGAAAAATTGTGCAAAATGTGTTGTATTTATGGCCCTGGTCAAACGGCCTGTTTGATGCGTGTGAAATGTGAAGAGCTTTGTACATAAAATTTGAAGTCCATCATAAATATTTCACTAATTCTATAAAAAAGCACTTTACAATGATCAGTGTACCTTATTCATTTCATATACAACCTTCAGTTTCTTCTGTAGGATAGAA